CCCTGACCGTGCCCCTCTCCCCAGGCCTCCCTCTTCGCCTCGCAGGAGAAGTTCTTCCAGGAGCTGTTTGAGGGGGAGCTGGCCTCGCAGGCAGCGGCCGAGTTCGAGCAGGCCATGCAGGAGCTGGCCCGGGAGGAGCCGCACTTGGTGGAGCAGTTCCAGAAGCTGTCGGAGGCGGCAGGCAGAGTGGGTGAGTGGGGCCGCAGCCCCTTGGCACCGCCGCCGGTGGGTTTAAAGAATGCGGCAAAGGCGGCCGCCCTCCCTGGCGGCTAGATCGGTTGTGCCAGAGACAGTGTGTTACAGCCCAGTGAGCCCTTGTCTTGCCGGGAGTGCACCGGCGTCCAGATCGGCCCTGGCAGCCTCATGTCTCGCCGACAGCCAGGACACCGAGGTCGTGGCAGAGCGAGTGGCATGTGCCAGCCCAGGGTGGGACGGGGCTTTGGGGGCAGCGAGGGGTTCCCCACCATGCTGGGCAGTCTTGGTTTGGCTCAGGGCCGGTTGGCACCTCTCCAGTGTTGCGGCGCCGGGCATCCTCCCGCACGCCAGGAGCTCCCCCAGCCTTCCTGCCAGCGGCCGGCCCCGTGGTGGAGCACGGTGGGGGAAGGTTTGGGGTCTTTTGGGGGCAGTCCCGGTCCTGCAGGCCCCTGGGACCCCCATTTAGGAGCGGGGTCCCCAAAACAAGACCCTGACCCTTGCCGGGTGGGGTGCCCCAGTCTGCCTGGCGTCTCCCCGTCCCTGACCGGCGTCTCCTGATCCCCGCAGGCAGCGATGCGGCGTCGCAGCAGGAGTTCACCTCCTGCCTAAAGGAGACGCTGAGCGGCCTGGCCAAGAACGCCACCGACCTGCAGGTACGGCCGCCCCCCTGCCAGCCAAGCGGGGTTCCCCCGGGGGTGCCCCCCATCCTGGGGAGGGGCTGACGGTGTCCTTGCAGAGCTCCTCGGCCTCAGAGGAGGAGCTGGCGAAGGCGCTGGAGGGGCTGGGGCTGGAGGAGAGCGATGGCGAGAGCAGTGTCCTGCCCGTCATGCGGAGCATCATGCAGAGCCTGCTCTCCAAGGACGTGCTCTACCCCTCGCTCAAGGAGATCACTGAGAAGGTGGGGAGTCCGCTGGCGCCGGAACGGGGTGGGGAGGTGCGGCGGTCCCAGCCTGACCCCCCGCCGTCCCCCTGCAGTACCCCGAGTGGCTGCGGCAGCATGGCGAGGCGCTGCCAGCTGAGCAGTACGAGCGGTACCGGGCGCAGCACGGCGTGATGGGCCGCATCTGCCAGCAGCTGGAGGGCGAGCGGCCGGGCGAGGGTGAGGAGGAGCGGCGGGCACGCTTCGAGACCCTCCTCGACCTCATGCAGCAGGTGAGTGGCGGGGGGACGGAACCCCCGGGACCCCGGTGCCACCCTGACCCCCCCGGGCCCCCAGTGCCACCCTGACTCCCCTGTGTCTCCCCCCCCGCTGCCGGG